CAGCACACATGATTGAGAAACTTAGCAACGGCAGTCGTCATAAATTGCTAATTGTTGGTTAGCCGCACCATGTTTGCAATGAGTAGTATCTATGGCATTCGCCGTAGTAGGAATCGCACCCGTACGAGCGCTAGTAGTCTTACTGCGCTGTCGCGGTAATACAAACAGAAGGCCGCGGTTACAAAAACAAGTTGGCACATTAGCAAACGTAGCCGTGGTAATGATGGCAATGGTAGTAGGGGTAGTGGTAGCTGTTGTATTAAGAGTAGCCAGAATACTGGTAGTCGTAGTAGTAGTAGTAGTAGTAGTAGTAGTAGTAGTAGTAGTAGTAGTAGTAGTAGTAGTAGTAGTAGTAGTAGTAGTAGTAGTAGTAGTAGTAGTAGTAGTAGTAGTAGTAGTAGTAGTAGTAGTAGTAGTAGTAGTAGTAGTAGTAGTAGTAGTAGTAGCAGTAGTAGTAGTAGTAGTAGTAGTAGTAGTAGTAGTAGTAGTAGTAGTAGTTAGTAGTAGTAGTAGTAGTAGTAGTAGTAGTAAGTAGTAGTAGTATAGTAGTAGTAGTAAGTAGTAGTAGTAGTAAGTAGTAGTAGTAGTAGTAGTAGTAGTAGTAGTAGGTAGTAGTAGTAGTAGTAGTAGTAGTAGTAGTAGCACTAGAGGGTGCGCCGCTGGATCTCCCCAGGGGGGGGGAGGGGCAAGGGGGGGGGGAGGACCACCCCCCTCCCTCTTTCCCGATCCGTCGTCGGGAACCCCCTCCTCCCCTTCCCCCCTTCCCCACCCCGTCCGTCGTCGGGGACCCCCTCCCCTTCCCCCTTTCCCCGATCCGTCGTCGGGGGCACTCCCCCCTCCCTCCCCTTTCACAGGGGGGGGGTCCGAACCCCCCCCCCCCTCCCCCCCTTTCGCCACGCCGCCCCCTGACTCCGGAACCCGACCCCTGCAACCCCTACCCCTAGTCCTCACCGTAACCCAAATCCCTAATCCGAACCCCAACCACGAACCCCAGCCCCAAAGAGTACTCACTACTCCTTACTCACTACCCACTACTGACTACTCGCTATTCGCTACTCACTACTCAAGTACCCCCTACTCACTAGTCACGACTCACTACTCACTATCCACACCTCGCTACCCACCACCCACTACTTGCTACCCACTTCTCCCTACTCACTACTCCCTCCTCCCAACTCACTACTCACTCCTCACTACCCACTACTCAATACTCACTACTCACTAAGCACTACTCACTGCTCCCTATTCACTAATCACTACTAATTACCCACTACCCACTATCCACTACTCACTACTCACTACTGACTACTCATTGCCCACAAACCACTATTCACTACCCACTACTCGCTACTCCCTACTCCCTACACAATACTGACTACACAGTACTCAGTACTCACTATTCGCTACTCCCATACTAATCACCCTCCGCTACTATTCACGACTCACTACTTACTACTCCCTAAAAAATAATCGCTACATAGTCTCTAGTCACTAGTCACAAATCACTGATCACAAGTCACTAGTCACTACGCACTACTCACCAATCGCTACTCACTACCCACTATTCGCTACCCACTTCTTACTACTCACTGCTCATAACTCCCTACTCACTACTCATTACTCACTACTCGCTGCTCCCTACTCGTTACTCACTAATCACTACCCACTACTCACTACTGACTACTCTCTACTCACTACTCACTGCGGCCTATTCGCTCCTCGCTACTCACTACTCGCTACTCCCTACTCGCTACTCACTACTCACTACCCACTGCCACCACCCACTACTCTCTATTCATCACTACTCACTACTCACTACTCACTGCGCACTACGTACTAATCAGTACTCACTACTCACGACTCTCTACTCACTACTCACTACTCGCTACTCACTACTCACTACTCACTACCCACTACTCACTACCCACTACTCACTACTCACTACTCACTACTCACTATGCACTACGCACTACCCACTATTCACTAATCGCTAATCACTACTCGCCACCCACTACTCACTACCCACTACTCACTACCCACCACTCATTACACCCTACTCCCTACGCAGTACTCAAAACATGCTACTCGCTACTCACTACTCACTACTCACTACTCGCCACTCACTACTCACTTATCAGTACACACTACTCACTATGCACTATTCATTACTCCGGACTCCCTATTCCCTTCTCCGTACTCGCTACTCACTACCCACTACTTACTACCCGATACTCACTACTCACTACGCACTAACTCACTACTCACTACTCACAGCTCCCCACTCCAAATCCGCACTCCCTACACGAGGGGGGGGGATCGAACCTCCTCTCCCCCTTGCCAGCGCCAAGGAGGGGAGAGGGGGGGGGTCCAGACCGTCCCCCCCCCTTTCAAGCGAGGGGGGGGGGCGGGGTTCAGGACCCCCTCCCCCCTTAAGGGGGGGAGGGGGGGGGTTCTGCACCCCCCCCCGCCCTGAAGGGGGGAGGGGGGGGGGGTCTGGACC